TCTAACATGAGGCCCGAGAATAATTTGGAGTTATAGACTATTTCCAGTTCGTGATATGAGGGGTAGTAGTTCATGTTAAAGAGACTTTTCCTTTTCCAATGAGGAGGCTTTCAGAACTCCCAGATTACTAATGTTAAGAAAGCTGTGTTTCTAATTTTTAAATTTGATCTCATTCATTTGTGCATTCACCCTTGCATCCATCCATAAACATTATCACATGCAGGTGCTATGCTAAGGACAGTAGATTAAGAGGTATTATATAATCCTGCCCCTTCGAGGAGCTCACAGTTTGTGTAGAAACAGATAAACCAACAATGAACTGTGACAAAGCATGAGAGCAGCTACCATGGAGAGGGGTGGGGTACTATGGGATGTTCAGGTTTGGCATCTTACTGAGCCAGGAAGCCAAGGAGCCAGGAAAGGGAAGAGAAGGATTCATAGAGGATCCACTGCCCTTGCTGAGGTGCAAAGTGTGGTCAGAAATTGTCTTGGGTGTAAGAGTTGGGGTTTCAATGAAGGTCTTGGAAAGATACAGGAGTGACAGACAGCAGAACATGTGCCCAGGGCAGAGGGAAATAAAAGGCCAGGGCTGGAGATGCAGATGGGTAGCAGACCATGAGGTACCTCAGAGTCCATATTTTTACTTTTTGATTCACATAGGAGAATTCTTTTTACACCAAAGTCATAGCAACTGCTGATAGAGATTAATTCAAACATTATGATTTTGTGTACAAATACCGACACACATACACACCACAAAACACATCAAGTTATGCCTACACATGGAGTGAAGAATAATACACTGAGTGAAACATAATAAGCAAGCTGTTTTACATTTCTAGAAGCTTTCTCCTTCAGGGGTGGGAGTTGATACCTTCATTCCTGCAGCGTGTGTGTGTGTTTGGCTCGCTTTCTGGGCATGGTGGATTGGGAGGGAAGGAAAAGGAAACAAACACTACTAGGCAGAGCCGGATGGACACGTTCCCATCGATAGCCAGGCCGCGTGGCAATACAGTGCCATCTCCACACTAATGAAGATGTCTACGGGACAACATATTAAACTGCAGGAGCAAGCTACCTCTCTGGTCCTTGATCAGTGGGTACCTGTTGCCCAACCCTCTGTAGAAACACAGGTAAGGAAGGCGAGGATTGGCTAATGTGGACCCGGGACAGGGACAAAGACCACAGATTTATGTGTTGAGAAAATGTGAATCATGCAGTCATAAACTACCAAAGCTGGACGTTTTAAGAAGCAAGTTAAACACCCAAGATCTGCCAGGGCTTTCTGCATCACCACATGACTTTCCCTTGCTTTGTGTATTGCTCAAGCTGGACAGCGTCAAGTCTAAACAGTGGCGAGAGTCCAAGAGACAATCTGTATGTGTAGCAGAGGTAAGAACGAGTCATTTGTGGTTGGCTCTGCTCTCAGAAAAATCTCTTTGCAAAGTTTTATAGGCAAAATTGGCATCCCAGATATAAAGATATAGCCAGTTCTCATCTGTCAGGGCTTAAATGTGTTTTTAAGAATGGAGGGAAGAAAAATGTTTGTTTGTTCTGATTAGCTGCCCTACCAGCAAATTTGGAACATTAAATATAACTCTGAACTTTCCTGCATAATTACACCATTTTCAAATAAAATGATATAGACAGTGTGTGTTTGCCAAGGGATAGATCCATCTAGTTGTGTTTGATGAATACAGATATGGGCTGAACTATGTCCCTCTCACCCAAATTCACATGTTGAAGTCCGAACTCCCAGTACTCTGGAATACAGTTGTGCCTTGGAATTCACAGAAAATGGGCTTGAGAGCCCCTGTGGTACCAAAACACATGGATGCTCCCAAGTCCCTTCCATAAAATAGCACAGAACTGACATGTAATCATGAGACCATTTTAGGTATAATATCTAATACAATGCAGATGCTATGTGTAGAGTTGTTAGACTATCTTGCAGAGAATGACAAGAGAAAAGGTCTGTACTCATTCAGTACAAATGAATTTTTCTTCTCCAAATATTTTCCACCCGAGGTTGCTTGAATCCATAGAGGTAGAACTTGGAGATACGGAGCACCAACTCTGTAGCTTATTTGGAGATGTAAGTGGAAGTAGGAAAAATAATGACAGGAACTGATTCATAATGAGGGTGATTGGTTTCTCCTACCTAGATCTGTGTTGCTTCCTGTGCCCTACTCCCCCAACCTGTCTACACCCAGAGACTGTGCACTGAACTAAATTCCCAGCCCACCTTTCATTTTATTTTTATTATTTATTTATTTAATCATTTCTTTTTATCATCATTAAGCTGCCCACCTTGCACTCAAACTTGTGATCCTCCTGTCTCAGCCTCCCAGAGTGCTAGGACTATAGGCATGCACCAGTACAACCAGCTGGTATCTCACATTTTTGAAAGTATGCTTCTCTAGTATTCTCTTGGGCTTTGATCTATCATAAATCTTGTATAAATTATTTTTTTCTTAAGTTAGGAAGACACATTTCCTATAGCTTTCAAACCATTCTTTTTCTGACTCAGTTCATGTCATTTTTTTTCCTACTGAAATCCAAAAAAGTTAATTTTTAATTTAAAACGTATTCTTTGCCTAGTTCACTTTTATTCTCCTATGTAGATTTTATGTAGCCACCCATCATTCAATAAATGTTTACTAAGCATATGTGTCAGATATTGTGTTAGGTGAATTCATCTCACTAGATGTTGAAAGATGCTATGTGTAACATGGAGAATTACTGAATACTTAGAGATTAGTTATTTCACACATTATTAAATTGCCTTAAGAGATTCAGTCTGTGCAAAGTTACAATGACAGTCTAAATAAGGCATTGAAAAGTTCCATTTAAACTCAGAGGATGTTTAACTAGAAGTGTTTATTGAGCATGTACTGTGTACAAAGGATCATATCAAAGTATTAGAGAGTGAGATACAGAAAACAGAGCTTGCCTTTCCTCTTAAGGCACTTACTAGGGCCTCTTCAGATACACTGAACAGTCAGCAAACATCAAACCTTAAGAAAACAAGAAAAGTCATTCTGAACCCTCTCAACCCTGATGATACTACTGTAGGAGAATCCACTGTGCCTATGCTAGGCTGAGCACTTCAACATCTGATCTCATTTGTTCCTCACAGCAAACCTCTGTCATAAGTGTTATTATGATCTTCATAATACAGAGGACGAAAGTAAGTTTAGTGAAAGTAAGCTTTTAATGAGTTTTAATGTCAGAAAACTTTCCACCATTCTTGGTAGTATTTTTTGGTTTTTTGGTGGGGGGGTGAGCGGGAGTTGCTTTTGTTTTGATACTGGTGTTTGAATCCCAGGCCTTTATGCTGAGATACATGCCCAGCGCTTTTTACTTTTCATTTTGTGACAGGGCCTTGCTGAATCACTGAGTTGCCCACGGTGGGCTAGAGCTTGCAATCTTCCTGCCTCAGCCTTATGAAGTGCCGGGGTTACAGGCATGTGCCACCATGCCTGGCTTCTTGGTATTTCTTAAAATACACACAAACTGCCTCTGACTCTATTTTTACCTTTCCTCCACCTACGGAGGGCTCTTATCGCCCCAGAATAGTTGACAAAAGAGAACAACCTCATCTCCAAGACTCAGGAGTTAGAACCTGAACACCATGAGCCATGTTTTCTGTCCTGTCCTGGATTTAGACTTTTGTTTCATTTGGTCATTCCTTCCTCACCTGTAAGCATCACTGCTGTTTCATTTCTAAGACTTGGGGGCGGGTGGTATGAGCTTTGGTAGCAGGCTCCAAAGGCTAGAGTTTCTCTTCATTTTCTTTTATTTAACACAGTTCTCAAAACATTTGAGTGAAATTGGGCCTCCTTTGATAAGCAAAGGACCTGAAAATAATATTTACAAAATGAACAGGCAGTCTTCGGTTCATCCGTTGACACAGGTGTAATGTTCCCTTCTCTTATCCTGTACTGTGAAGCACCCAGGTTTTTTTTAATGGTCTAAAAGCTAGAAGAACAAGAGTACATTTGTGGTGGAATGTATTATCATTTGCTCATAACTAGTTGAAATACCATTATCCCCCTTTCACAGGTTTAAGAAACAGCCTTAAGGCATACACAATGTGTAACTCTTCTTATTCCCTGCTATACGTAATATAGATTTACATAAAGGCTGACAAATCCACATTTATATAAGCATTAAGCATTTGCTGTATTGAAAAACTTAGTTCTAATACTAGCAGTACAGAGTTACAAAGCATATTTTTAACACTTAGTTGCAGGTATATTAAATACGGTGTTTCATAGACTGGAGGAAAACGGGTATTTTCACCTTTGAATTTACTGATAACAAATTTGAATAGTTCTAAGCATCAATGTTCGAATGGAAAATAACTAAAACGGTGTTTTTTGTTGCTTTTTGCCATTTGGTAGCATTTTACACACAGGCTTTGATCTTCAGATTACCCTGGATTCAGTAGAAAACCCTTTTAAATGAAGTTTTTTGTACAATAGAAACTTCTCAGCAGTCAAAATTTAGACTGTAAAAAAATACATGCGAAGCATACTTTTCTGAAAACACAACTTTGAACAAAGCACCAAACTACACAAATGCAGAATGAAAACAGCATTTCAACTCCACCAAAAGTAGTCATCATAAAAGGTGTAAAAGTCACCTAACTTCACTAGGCACTGTTCACTTTTTAAACAGACAATAAAAATATTGTCCACAAACAATATCCCAGCCAGCTCTATGGCAGGTTTCAGAAAGTCTTCATCTTCATGCTTTAGTAGCGACGAGGTGAGTAGGATCAAGATCTGGAGCGTGATCTGTATTCTCCACGACTATAGTAAGGAGAAGGTGACCTCCTTCTGTAAATTTGATCCCTGTGTTGAGCAGCTCTCCATCCACCTCCTCCACCACCACCTCCTCTGCACGATCTGTGTGGAGGTGGTGCGGAGCGCTTCGCCTCTGTGCGGCTGAGCAATCAGGTCGTCCTGCGGGCTGCGGCGAAGCCCTGTAATAAAGGAGGCACGAGAGTTTGGAGCTTCGATTGAAGCCCGGCGAGCCGGAGACGTCAAGCCAGGAGTCATGAGCGACAGCGGCGAACAGAACTACGGCGAACGGGAATCCCGTTCTGCTTCCAGAAGTGGAAGTGCTCACGGATCGGGGAAATCTGCAAGGCATACCCCTGCAAGGTCTCGCTCCAAGGAAGATTCCAGGCGTTCCAGATCAAAGTCCACGTCCAGATCTGAATCTAGGTCTAGATCCAGAAGAAGCTCTCGAAGGCATTATACAAGGTCAAGATCTCGATCTCATTCTCATAGACGTTCTCGTAGCAGATCTTACAGTCGAGATTATCGCAGACGCCACAGCCACAGCCATTCCCCCATGTCTACTCGAAGGCGTCATGTTGGGAATCGGGCAAATCCTGACCCAAACTGTTGTCTTGGAGTGTTTGGGTTGAGCTTGTACACCACAGAAAGAGATTTAAGAGAAGTATTCTCTAAATACGGCCCCATTGCTGATGTGTCTATTGTATATGACCAGCAGTCTAGGCGCTCCAGAGGATTTGCCTTTGTGTATTTTGAAAATGTGGATGATGCCAAGGAAGCTAAAGAACATGCCAATGGAATGGAACTTGATGGGCGTAGGATCAGAGTTGATTTCTCTATAACAAAAAGACCACATACCCCAACACCAGGAATTTACATGGGGAGACCTACATATGGCAGTTCACGCTGTCGGGATTACTATGACAGAGGATATGACTGTGGCTATGATGATCTAGAGTTTCAAGATAAGTCATTTGGCGTCTTCCGTAGAATTCACTGCAATGGGACTTTATCCTTATCGTGACTTGGCTCCTAGACTCATTTAGCAGAGGCCAATCGGCAGCTCCCATCTCTTATAAAAGTTTCCATAAGACAAAACACGAGAGCTCTTTTTCTTTTTTACCCTGGGATTCTTTATCTCTTATGAGCATCGGTAATCAAAGTGGCATTTACTAGCTTGGCAAATGAATAAACTTTTACTTTCCCACAAGTTCAGTTATAGGTATCATGCTCTCCTAAAGTTTCCATAGCACACAGACAGCGATGTGTTGAGAGAGAGAGAGAGAGAGAGAGAGAGAGAGAGAGAGAGAGAGAAGGAAAGAAACGATCTACAATGAAAACACTGTAACAAGGACCACACTGATCTGACATTAGTTTCCTAGTGACTTGCAGGGTTTGTAATTTTTATCATTTACCTTTCTCTCCACTACACTGATTCCTAGGGGAGGGTTCATTTTTTATTCATTCTGAAAGTTTACCATCAATCATCCTCTTAAAGAGCTTGCCAGAAACTTGGACAGAACCTCATAATAAAATTGCAGAGACAGAGGACTAATTGATTTCTATAAATAATGTTTTGCTGTAAAGATATGAAAGGTGGTTAGAACCACATGTATTAATCTCCCTTTTGCTCCATCTGTGTCTGTGAAAGCAGACTGTACCTTGACAAAGTACCCTGCAAACACGGGGCAGGAGATTAACACCAGATGGCCCACCCCGCCCATCTCCCTGCCCTGCACTCCTGCCAGCCCCTACCTCCTCTGGCCAAATCCTCTAATTACCCTGCCACACACACACACATACACACACACACACACACACACCCTTCACTTTGCATTCTATAATTTAAAAATTGTATTTCCATTACTATCTCTGTTCTGACAACATGTAGAAAATTTGACAGTCCCATTTATCTTGGAGGCTTTGCCTTTTTGTTCAACCAGCAAAAATACAACCCAAGCCCTAAATGTAAAAGCATTTCATCAGACTGTGAGACTGACATATTCAAGAAAACACAGCAGCTACTGGTGCTAAAGTATTATTAATGTGTGTGTCTTGGAAAGGGGGAGGTTAGAGGTTAGAATATGTCTCTAGCTTCTATCACATAGTACAAAAACAGTAGTACTGCCTGTCAACTTTATACAAGATGGGAACAAATTTGTATCTGGGGAAATACATGTAAACTTGATAAAGATAGTGCTATAAATTTCCTATTTATTTAGGAGCTGCAGAAGAAGTGTTAGAACTACCATCTGCTCAGGACTAGTGTGATACACTGAAATAAAAAGCAAGCTAAAGACAAGGGCTGTATGGTAAATGTCTGAATCTAAATGATGAATATTAGGTCCTTGAAGATTCAAAAGCTGATTCGTAAAGACATCCTCTTAGTGGGTTCACTCAATCAGCTGGTTTTAAACACAAATCAAAATGTCACACTTAGCCCTGAATATTATTTTCTGGCTATAGATGGAGTATAAAATGAATGATTACTTTCACTTGGGAGAGAGGAAAACTGTCACAGTAAATAGATTTTTAGAAAACTAGCCTATTTCTTTTCTTCTCCTTTTTTTTTTTTTCTCTAGATGGCTCCTAGGTGATGGTGTACAGATATTTTCCACAAATAAGAGTTTGAGAGTATCTCTTTAATGGGGAAACATAAATGATTAAAGTGATTTCAGTAAGGCTCTCTACATCAGTTTACTTCTGATAGCTTTACATATCCCTGATGATTATCATACTTGAAATATGGTCATAGTTTTAAAAGCTTTCACAGATACCTTCAATCTGAAGCTTTTCATGTGAGGCAGATCAGACTCTGTCAAGCCTTTTATTTTATTTTAGGGGGAAAATGCATGCTGTGTTTTGTAATTTAAAGTCTCGGTAAAGTTAACCACACTTGTAAAAAGTCATTTATTTTTAGCATGGGCTTCTATAACATTCCCTCCCTTTCCACATGCTGGTTAGTGTCTGTCTGTACCCCTTTGAATCTGCTGGCCCAGTTCCTTTCAGCAAGTGTCTTATTTCCATGGGAAGCTCCTAGAAGGCAGGGATATTCTAGGTCCTCTTGCTTTGTCTAGACTTTGGAGCACCCAGTATCTTGATGGAGACTACCGACTTTTACACCAGCCAACAGTCTTTTAGACGTCTATATTTCCATAAACTGTTTCTGTAATGGTCATAATCTCATCACGAAACAGCATAGAAGAAGTCAATGGGGAGAAAATAGTTGGTTGAACCTCAAAACATTTCCTTTTCTTTCCTTTTTTTTTAAGGTCTTGCAGGGGAGGACAAGCCTATGTTGGAACTGAGCTATCAGGACACTGAATCCCATAGTTACTGAATCACTTCCTGGAATTAGGCAAGATAACCTTGGAGGTGTTTGGGAGTACAGTTGCTCAAGCAGTACACCAGTGTTAGGGTGCTGTGTGACTCATTCAACCCCTCAGGCCACGGTCTTCAAGTGGCTGGAGCCTTCTGAGCAAGTGAAAATGAGCACATCTGTTTGTTGGATCTGTTTGTTGGAAGGGGCCTACAGAGTTCTGAAACAGCATGGCTGGTGGGTCTGGTGGATTATTTAGCATTCCAGAAAGCTAGGGTGTTCTCCATGTAGGCTGGTTGGAAAGTTAAGAGTGCCAGGAAATACAGGGCACTGTATTTATATTACCTGGAGTTGAAGAGCTGTGTAACCCAGTTTCCATTGCTTAAGGCAACAAGCTCCAAGCTGAAACTGGGAATTAAACTGAGAGACACTCCTAAGGGTGAAAGGAAGGTTTGGATCCTACACATCCAATCCCAGGAAGCCTCTGTAGCTTTCTGACCCATGGGTAATGCATACAAACACTAGATTAAAACCTTAAAGGAGGCCAATAACTACTTCCAGAGAGTGAATACAGGTTCATAGGCTGTAGCATCCTTGTAGGAAGGTCTATTTAAATGTATTCATAAGAACTTGGGGATCAAAGAGACGTATATCAATCTATGGGCTTCCTGAGTGCCAGGCAGGGAAATGGTCCCTGGTGAGACATCCTGGTCCTTCGATCTGTCGAGAGAGCTGTCTCAGGGGTTTGAAGTAGCTAAGGGTGAAGATTTGGTATTCTTTTCTTCCCCGGCCAGGCTCTTACAACCAGCACCCCATCCTCTTCCTTCCCGCTCACTCTGGTGACCCAGTGCTCTTCTCCTGTCTCCCAGTAGCCTGATGTCTCTCACTCTGATACCCCACCAGGACCCTGCCCTCCCCAGAGTATCTTTGAATTTCTCCACTTTGGAGGCCTGGGGCCCTTCCTAGCTGGCAGCACCTGAGCTAAGTACAATCAAACCATGCCAGTGAAGGGAGCAGAACAGTGTAGACCAGGGGCTGGCAAGCATTGTCAGAAAAGGGCCAGCAAGTAAATATTTTAGCTTCTGAAGCCCAGACAGTCTTTGTGGCAACTACTCAGCTTTGCTGTCAAATGGCTAAAGCAGCCATAGAAAGTATATAAATGAGTGTGGCTCTGTTCCAATGAAACTTGATTCATAAATCCAGAAGCTGGATTTGGCCCTTGGGGTCACAGTTTGCTTATTCCTGCATAGAAAAAACAATGTTTGTCAGGAGTAAAGAACTGCACTCCCAGGCACAGCCTCAACCACTCCCAGCCTTTTGCACGTCACCCCACTTCTCCCTTGCCCCACGTCTGCTCCCCCGCAAAGGGCAGGAGGTGTGAAGAGGGCAGTGTGTGAGATGCGCCATGCGCCTGACAGCTCTAGCTGTTTAGCCGATCTGTGGCCAGTCACCCAAAAGTCCTGGGATTTGTCCTGACAACAGTGGCCATCGTTTCAACAACCTGCCTGTTCTCTGCTTTCACGTTCCTAACACACTGGAGCAGATTACGCGATTATTCTGATAAGTGAAGAAGCAGATCAGAGAAGTGAAGTAGCGTGTACACGTTACAGTGGGTACGTCTCAAGGTCGGGATTCAAATCCAGTTTCTTTTCACCACGTGCATCCATGTTGCCTAGACACCATATGACTTCCCAAGTAGACTCCTTAGTTTTCATACCTTTCACTCTAACTGACCACTTGGCAGATACGGTCTGTGGTACACGTGCCTCTCCACAGCTGCTGGAGCAATCAGATATTATCCTTCTGTGTGTAAATCTGCCCAGTGGCTTCCCAGAAGTCTTTGTGAGGACCTTCGAGGCCACTGGGACCTGTGCTGTCTTATTGCAAACATCTTGATGTCTCTTCCTTGCCTCGCCTGCTCGGGCTGTGCCTCAGGCACCAAACTTTGCTTTAAACATGTCAAGCTAGTTCCCATGTGAAGAGGAGTCCCTGTGTCCTGTTGGCCCATTCCTGACAGAAGCTGTAGCTTTAAATGCCAAACAGGAAAGTTCTTACTGTCCAGTAATCATCTTTTGATCACTGAGTAAATGAAAGAATATACTGGAATACAATGAGAAACTTTATCCATTCTCTCCCTCACCCCCAGACAGCATGCTTGTTTCTCTCAGAACTAATCAGAGTATCACTTTGTCTCATTTGTCCAAAGCCCTCAGTACAGGAGAGGTGAAACAAAACTCAGACTAGTTTCGTGATTCTGAATGCCAGAGTCATAAGGGACAGGAACAGTCATCTAGGGACCAGAATTGTCCGGTTTGTAGTCTCTGAGCCTCTGTTTCTCTGCCCCTCCTCTACCCCCACCTCATTCCCTACAGCAGCTGTTCTTGACCACATCAGGCTCCCCATCCTCCTCCTCCTCTCCTGTCTGCCACCTGAGGATGCGTTTGGTGGGGAAGCACCACTCTCATCCAAAGCTTCTCACTTGATCGGCAGAGATATCCAGAGACAGAAAACTGCAATAGCTCACCTGAGGTCCCACTGCTGTTTAAGATCAGAGCTGAGTCACTTGATCATAAACCTGGTCCTGACTCCACAGTTCACACAACAAATGGAACGAAATAACCAGCTAATAAACCCCCAGGCTGCTCACATAAGAGCAATGCAATTCTACATTGCTCGGCACCGGAAATGCACTGGGCTAGGCCCTA